TGTAAAGATGACAGGGCCAAGGACCGAACCCTGGGGAACTCCGTACTTTAGAGGTAACCTGTCTGACACATCATTGCCAATTTTGACTGACATAAATCTATTGTCTAGATATATATATATATAAAACAGGCCCGGTAATAACAGGGTCCGGTAATTGCAGGGATTTTTTAAATCCCCGTCTTTTCCCACTCTTGCCTCATCGGAGCCCAATCGGTTATAGCAGGGACAAAGGCTCGTTAACAATGTGTAAAAAGTAAGAGAGAGAGAGAGAGAGAGAGAGAGAGAGTAACGCAGTGATGGAGCAAGCACTCGCAGCGGGTGAAGCGAGAAGGGAGTTGCGGTACGCTGCAGACTTCGATCTATCCCTACCTAGCTACACGCACGTGTAATGTGTCATGTGCAAGGGAAACTACCCATGAATAAAAACAGCTGGATTAGTCCACAAATGCTTACCCCCCTTGCATTTCTGACTTAACAGGGATCTGATATAACTTTTTTTTTTTTTTTTATAACAGGATTTTATTCTCTGGTCCCACCATCCCTGTTATATCCATAGAGTTACCCCCTTTAAAATAGTGTACATCTATGGTTATATCAGGTTTCCACTGTACTTATTAGTAGTAATAGATAGATCATAGACTGCGCTGTAGCACCATGTGTGTCAAAAGCAGATTCCATGGACTTGGGTTGGATCCTCTTCTTGGCTTACTCTTAGTTACACTATTACAGTTTCCACTGCATTGATTCTGAATTTGAAATGTGGATGCCAAATTTTACCGACTAAAGGGGCTAGAATTTACTAGAAAAATTGTCTGAAATCTTTTGAAGGAATGTGCTTGACTGACCAATTTTATCGCATGCGGAGTAGGGGCGAGGACTCAAAACACCTTCACCTTCACACACACACACACACACACACACACACACACACACACACACACACACAATCACATACATCTTTTATCCCAGCCAATCAATAGAGTTATTACAATAATTACACGTCATTAAAAGATTAAAAGGAAGAGATGTTTCCGTCTCGGCCAATCAAAACGAGTTGTTGAATTTCAAATGAAAAAACGTTTTTTGGGCCCATAGAAGCTGCGCAAAAGTTGTCTGCACATAAATTAAATTAAAATATAATGTTAAATTTTTCTACATTACTCATTACTCACAACGGACCCAGCGCGTGCACACCACACATCGAGGGGAGTGCCATTACGATGGCAATGACAGTTTTATTTAGATCTAGATTTATCACGCAGAAAAAAATTGCATTAGTCGTTTACATTTGCTGTGGTGTTGTAAAAATCGATAAGAAAGAAAGTAGATATGTAGGTCTACATATACATGCATATTTCTGTTCCCGTCGTTTTATGCTAGAAAAATTCTTCTGAAATTATGCAAACTGAGCCCGAAAATGTGAAATTATGCGATTCTGTTAATTTTAACAAAGAATGGTTAAGGAAAATAATCAGAAATATGGCAAAAATGATCGAATTATGCGGGATGTATAAAACCACAAGGACAGATATTTATGCTTACATTATGTTGCATGCTGAAACAGCATTGCTCCATTAACATTCTCTCTACCCCTCCCCCCCTCTCTCTCTCCCTCTCTCTCTCTCTTTCGCTCTCTCTCTCTCTCTCTCTCTCTCTCTCTCTCTCTCTCTCTCTCTCTCTCAGTTGTATCTCACACAATATTAACAATGCTCGGTAACCCCACTGCAGCTGATGCGAATTAACTTTCGATTTTGAAAAAAGAAATGCTCTTTTTATTTGTTTTGGCCTTAGACTTCTTATTTACTCAGTCTTATTTGATTCTATTTTCATTTATTCTTATTTATTTAATTCCACGTCATTTTATGTTTGGTTAGGTTGGGGGGGG